TGTGTCGACAAGGTCGCAGAGATAGCTTCCGGAGAGATTCCATTATACTATGTTGGGGCTGATGGAGGTTTAAGGTACAAGGGATGGTTAGTGGTACCTTCTGCTGATGGTTTGAGGAAGGATGTGATGACTGAGACTCACCACTCTGAGTTCTCTGTTCATCCAGGAGGCGATAAGATGTATCAAGATATGAAGCGGCAGTTTTGGTGGGCAGGTATGAAGAGGGACATTGCTCTTTTTGTTTCTCAGTGTAGTACTTGTCAGATGGTTAAGATTGATCATCAGAGGCCACCAAGAGCTCTACAGTCACTACCAATTCCGGAGTGGAAATGGGAGAGCATATCTATGGATTTTGTGGAAGGGTTGCCAAATTCTTTCAAGGGGCATAATTCCATATGGGTCATTGTGGATAGGTTAATCAAGTCAGCTCATTTCTTGCCTATTTGCACTGACTACACTTCGGAGCAGTTGGCGAGGCTTTACATTTCAGAGATTGTGAAGCTACATGGCATTCCATTGTCTATTATATCGGACAGGGATTCAAGCTTTGTATCTGGATTTTGGAAGAGTTTTCAGCAGGCTTTAGGTACGGAGTTACACCTTAGTACTGCTTATCATCCTTAGACTGACGGACAGACTGAGAGGGTGAATCAGATTATGGAAGACATGCTTCGGTCATGTGTTCTGGATTTCAAGGGCCACTGGGAGGAATATTTGCCACTTGTGGAGTTTGCTTATAACAATAGTTTCCAGAAGAATATTGGGATGGCACCTTTTGAGGCGTTATACGGTCGACCGTGTCGATCACCTGTTTGTTGGATGGAGGTTGGAGAGAATCGATTCTTAGGTCCTGAGTTCATCAAGGATACCTCTGAAAAGATTTCTCTTATTCGAGATCGCATGCGTACTGCCCAAAGTAGGCAGAAGAGCTATGCTGATCGTCGCACTCGTGCTTTAGAGTTTCAGGTTGGGGATCAGTTTCTACTCAAAGTGTCACCTATGAAAGGTGTTATGCGCTTTGGGAAGAAAGGGAAGTTGTCTCCGCGGTTTGTCGGTCCATTCATGATTACGGATCGAGTTGGAGCTGTTGCTTATCGGGTAGCACTGCCGGGTAATTTGGACCGTGTACACAACGTATTCTATGTGTCCATGTTGCGAAAATTTCTGCGCGATGAGGATCGGTATCAGCATATCGATGTTGGGGAGATTGAGTTGTAGCCGGATGCAACTTATTCGGAGCCACCATATCGTATTGTTGACCGTCGGGATCAAATCTTTCGCAATAAGGTTATCCCTTTGGTTCGTGTTCAGTGGAGTCATTACAATGAGGCTGAGTCCACTTGGGAACGGGAGGATGTCATTCGCTCGCAGTTTCTTGAAATTTTGGAAGAAGGTAAGAGCGAATTCCGAGGACGGAATTCCTTTTGTTAGGGGGGAAGAATGTAATACCCCTAATTTCAAAAGGATAGTCCTAGTATTGTTTTAATTAAATTATTAAATGGTGTTTGAATTTTAAATTGTTTAACTTGTTGATTGGTGTTTTTATTTGCAATAATTGATGACTTGTTGTTTAATGTCCTAGTATTGTTTTAATTAAATTATTAAATGGTGTTTGAATTTTAAATTGTTTAACTTGTTGATTGGTGTTTTTATTTGCAATAATTGATGACTTGTTGTTTAATGGTGATTTTGTGAATTAAGTAATTATTACATTGTATTTTATTTTCTGTATTACGTTAGATTGGACTTTATCATTTTCTTTAATTGAATTGATTATTAAAGGTTTTAATTTAGGAAGTATTTTAATTAACTATATTTCATAATTTAGGGTTTAGTTTCTTTAGCCGACACAGGTTTTAATTAAGTTCTATGGGCCGGTTAGGATTTAGTTAGGGTTTTAATTAATTTAGGGTTTTGGTATAACTCTATAAATATATGGGTATACGTCTGCCGAGGGTTTCTGAAAACCCTATTCACCATATTCAGGTATACAGTGATACAGAGAGTTGTGAGGGCAGAGTAACAGAGATGGAGTTTACGTACGTTACAGAGAGGGAATAGGAAGACAGAGCAGGGGGAAAACTGTAGAGACGGTGGATATCAGTTTCAAAATCTGAAACTGCAGGCAAGTCTCTGTTCTTCTCTTTCCCATGAATCTGTGTTCTGTGCATACTTAGTTAAGACTCTAGGGATTAAAACAAGGATAAAATGGACTTAAATAAACTTTATAACAAGTTTTATATGCATGTATGAATTTCATTTACTCTCGTGAATTAACTGCTTTGCAAGAATTGTTGATTTTCTGCTACTTGATTTTGCTGCGGATTGTTTTTGAATCTTGTGTTAGATTCTTGTTGTGAAGATATATTTATTAGTCTGAGACTTTAAATGAACCCTAGAATAAGTGTTTAACACAGTATTTAATTTCACCAAATAGATCTGTTGTGGGTTGCTTAAAAATTTCAGACTAAGGTTCTGTAAACGTGGTTTTAAAACTTGTGTTCCTACACATGTTAGGATTGGATCTCAGCGGTTTAAACTTATTTGGGACTAAGATTGAACCTAGAATAAGAATTAGAACACACCACAGAGGCTCTGTAATCACCGGAGTCGGAGAAGATGAAGCTGGAACGGGCAACAGGCTGCTGAAGGGGATGGAGCAGGCTCCAAAACACAAAGGAGCCGGCTCAAAGGCAAAGGAGCCGGCTCTATTAGAGTTTGGGGCCGGCTCAATGATGAAGGAGCCGGCTCTAACCCAAAAATGGAGCAGGCTCAATGTTTTAATTGAGCCTGCTCTTTCTTGAAGCGCACTGAAAGGAGTTTTAAGGGCTGTTTGGGCTGCACGGTGTTTTCGAAGGCTGTTTAAAAGCTACTGTGAGATGTAATTAAATGTTAGGGACTTAAATAAATATTGAAAACATTTAATACAATAATGGTTTAAGGAAAGGATCAATGAACAACTCAAATAGTGGCTATACGTTGCACTGTTTTTGCTAGGTTTATATGACTGGAACTTGGCAAAGTTTTTATATATAATTGAATTATATGTAATCCTATATTTGTATAGTGTTATAATTATGGTGAATTAATTATATTTAACTATACTTAGTTTGGATTTAATTGATATTTAATTTGTTTAATTAGTATCAATTTATCGGTTGTTTTGGAGGACTTAAACGCTATGATTTATTTTAGCGGTTTAAATGATTGGAGCATGATATTTAGGTTTTGTAATGAATACCTAATATTGATATATGTATTAATTTATACAAATGCATATTCTGGAGTACGGTTGTTGATTATATAATGTTGTTTTAATAACTATGCTATATGGAAGATTTGTATGTACCGGTATGGGACGGTGACATACTAGGTATGGATTAATCAAACACTAAATTCCACCTACTTTGGATTAAGGTATGGATTAACCCTATGAGTTAAGTCCATCACCTACTTGTGTCATGTCAACAAAATAGTTGAATGACTTAATATGGTTTTAGGACGGATGGATATACATATACCAGACCACCACACAGATGGATGGTATTATGTATTAGGAGGAGTGTGGACTTTATATATTTATTATATGTGCCATGGTATGAGCTTGAGTCTCAGGACCATGGTTAGGGCGCGTATATCGCCTAGGATGGATAACTGGACATAGGTGTTGTTCCCTGGTAGGTCTAGGTACTTATGCCCACCTTAGGGTGCGTATTCGCATGTTGCCTTCTATTCAGGCTGAGACAAACCTACTGGACTAGCGAGCGTCATATAGTGTGTACTATATATATATATTGACTACTCTAGATATTGTTGAGTCTTCCTAGGATGTATCTGCGTATCGGGTTACTGTTTGGATTGTAGTAGATCAGGACTTGCATGTAGGCCTGACCCACTTCTTTATTTTTCAGGTGCTCGTCAGTTCCAGGGTTAGAGTTTGGACGTGCAGAGCAGATACAGCTATTCACTCCTCCGATTATCTAGGAATTTTCTCTATGTTAGCTTTGGATTTTGTTTTTATTATTTCAGTATCGTTTGGAGAATTTAAATAAGGGGTCCAATGGATGGATTCCCAAGTTGTAAACTTATGGACTTTTGGATTATCAGGTTTTAAGTATTTAATTATAAATGATTGTATTTCTAGATTCTTTCAGCTTATTATTATTTTTATTTCGTATTTCATCTTGTATTCTGTGTTCGGTTACATATTAATCATTTGATATTTCCCTCGGGTTTGGGCTTGGGCCTGATCAACCCGTGTCTCGGATCCGAGGGGTATCACACTCCCTCTCAAGCCCAATACACATTTTCACTAGTCCATAGGTCATACCATGTTTTTCAAAGCCCTTATAGTAGCACATCGAAACCATTTAGGAGAAGGATAATGATATTTAAACTGATTTTCTAAATTTTTTATGAAAAATGACAAAACAGGCCAATTCATTTTATGAAAAAAGATTATCCACTAAATGGATAGATGATGGTGGAGAAAAGACAGTAAATATTTGTAAACTGCAAGCCAGCCTTGTTCTAAAGGGTGTATTATGTCCCAAAAGAATGATTGGTTATGGTTATTGCATACCATGTACTTCTTCACTCCATTCTCATATACTCTTCCGCATCCATATTCTCTGCTCACACCCACGTAGCTTAGTTTCAATGGGTTCACAAACTCTGAATTTTCTGCATGCACCAGCAAGATTGGGTTAATTTATATATATATATATACACACACACACATATATTATTTATTTTCTTGAGCGGTTCACTATGGCATTACTGTATAAACATATTTCTTGAGAAAGTCTACAATACTTCGGGTATCGTACTCCCGGGGCCCCTTAACTGTTGGATCATTCATTAGGTGGGTTCGACCACCACATGCAACTGCTGGGAACTTCTGGGATACGCTACCCCGAGATATTGTAGACTTTCACATATATATGATTTGTATGCCAAACATATTTATATTGTATATGCATGTATAATTTAAGGCATGTCTATATGGTCTGTAAAAAATGATCACCTGAATGGTTTTCTTTTATCTTGAATGCATACATGAAAGCGCTGTATAAATCAAGCATCACAGACACATGCCCCCTGCTTTCATTGTTCAACCTCTGCACTGCTTGTTGTAAGATTTGGTTATGGAACATTGTGGCTGCATTTTCAGTTGCAATGCAATTCTGGTACAAAGATGAGACAGTGAATGTCGGCAAGAACCCCAAGGGTTCCATGGTTGTTACGGCTACTTTTCGCACTCCCAACCCGCGAATCCGTTTCAGATTCAGGGCAAGCTGGTTGATTACAGAGGTGGTGAAAGCTGGCAAACCCTGTTCATGTACAGAGAATGCATACAAATCTTATTGTATATGTATACGTAATACATTCATAATACATAAACACGTTTAAATTGTTAGAGAGTGTGCAACTTAAATCATTATAATAAACGAGGCTCTTGATTGGAAGCACGAGCCCAAATGGATCCTATAGTTAATTGCATGCATCCAAGGAAAGTCTCTCGTACTCTCTTTTCGAATAGAGTACCACTACTCATCAATTTATTTATTTATATTTCATTTCTCAATTAATTAAGAGTTTGAGAACACTCTTCTTTATAAATTTGAATTGTTTATGATACGGGAATTAATTAGAGATGTATTTTTCCTAAATGGAACTAGGAAAATTGGTAGATAAATTATCTCCAAAATTTAGAAACCCTAACCCTAAATTTGCAGCAACTAAGGCCCTGTTTGTCATGCGTTTTGTTTTCTGACTACTACAACAACAAAAACATGTTCGGTACGGCCTACACTTCGTGAGTAGTGGCCTCAAACCAAAACACCAAAAAGATATTTTTTCTTATTTTGACAACTCTTCGTGACCCAAAACCATAACTGTGTTTGTTTCTGTTTCTGACATTTCCATAGTAAAAATATCGTTTCCAAACATACTTCCGATTTTTTTCCAAAACACTTTTACAACAAAAACATTGTTTCTGTTTTAGCAAAAGATAAAACGCCTAAAACAAAGTGCATGTCAAACGAGAGCTAGGATTTTTGAATTATACTATGTGTGTGTATTTGATAGGGCTGCAACTCGGGCGGCCAAACCAGAAATAACCCGAGCCCAGCCCGAAATTTTGTTGGCTTGGGCAATGTTTTTCTAATTTGGGTTTAGGCCTAGGCTATATATTTTAAGCCCGAATTCAATTCGGGCTGGGCTTGGGTTTATATAGATGAAGCCCGAAGCCCAACCCGAGCCCAAAAATATTATATATATTTATAATTATACATAAGTCACAAGAATGTGGTAACCAAGTTGGTAGTGTGCTCGGGATTTATGCTTAAGGTTTCAAGTTCAAGTCATGGGTGCAATATTAATTAATTTATTTTTTACACATAAATTCTTGTGAGGTTGGGCTTGGGCTGGAGATTTTCTATATGGGCCTAGCCCGAGATGAGTGCCAAACCTGCCCGAGTTGCAGCCCTAGTATTTGAAAACATAAGGGTCCGCTTGGCATGCGTTTTGTTTTGGCTAAAACAGAAATAGTGTTTTTGTTGTAGGGGTGTTTTGGAAAAAATTCGGAAGCACGTTTGGGAACGATGCTTTGCTATGGAAATGTTGGAAACAAAAACATGTAAAACATGTTTGGTCACACACACACACACACACACACACACACACACACATATATAGTTTTTGGCGTTTAATTTTTGCAATAAACTATTTATATGTTAGCAGTTGCAGAGAGAGGGGGGGCAAGCTTGAGAGTTGAGAGATGGCGGGCTGAACTGGAACATCGGGCGATGGAAACTGAAAGATATGGGTTTTGATTTTTGCAGACAGATAGATAAACTGAGAGTTGTAGTTTGCAGTGGCAGAGAGAGAGAGAGAAAGGGCAAGTTCAGGTCTGAGAACGAGAATAGAGATGGAGGCATTATTTATAGGTAATAATAGATTTTGATTCTTGCAGACAGATAGATAAATTGAAATAAATGGGTTTTTAACTTCTGATTCTTGTAGATTTTGTAGTTTGCAGTTGCGGATACAGAGAGAGGGCAAGTTCAGAGTAAAGAACGGTGTTGTATTTGATAGGTGTTGTATATGTTTCAAGTTTGAATCCAGCAAATCCAGCTTCGATAGGTGTTATATTTGATAAAATCCAACAAATTGAGGGCCTAACTTGGATCGGTGTTGATGAAATTTTTTGAAATCGCCCATGAATCGCAGAGAGAGTATCGGGAGAGAAGAGAGAAAATTTGCCCAAAATAACCTAAAATGTTTATATACCTGAAGCAAGTGTGTTTCATGTTGGGCCGGCTGTTTCCTCCGCTATAATGAATTTTATGGGCAAACAGTGCTGAAACAAGATAAAACACCATTTTGGTGTTTCAAGTTTTATGCCTCTTTATTGAAATGTTTTATAATTGTGCAAAACAAAATATAACAAACCAAACATATTTTGGGCTTCATTTGGGCTACTGTAGCAGGCTTGAAACAAAAACAGCAAAAACAGAGTAGATGATAAACATGTTTGGTTCAGTTTTTTAATAACAGTTTTAATTGTTCTGAGAAAACAATGCAAAATTCTTATTGGTTGAGAGTTTTAAAATACTGTTTTCTGAAAAGTTAAAAAAGACCGTTTTTTAAAACAATTTTAAAAATTAGTTGAAGAAAATTTAAAACAATTCCAACTCCAATTAAGCTACAACTATTAAATGTATTCAAACGAGACTAACATAAATGCATCTAATGTTACATATATTAGTTTCGATCAAATTACACTATTAAATGAGACCCTTGTAAATGGATGAAAGATTATTTATATCAGACTTGAATCAAATTAGTTAAACAAAACCCACATAAATGAATCTAAGATTTTACATAAATCGACTCCGATCACATTTCCAACTTAATTGCAAATTAGGAACTACTAAAACCCAAAGCTTCCAAAATTGTGTCATTGAACATCCACTTAAAAATCATATTCAATAATTTTAATTTATTATATTGTTACTTCAAACGAGTTAAATGTCAATATTACACATAATGTGACATAAAGACATAATTTTACTTGCAAAATAAAATAAAAATATTAAATATTATACACCAAGGAGGGTGCTAATTAAAACACGTAGCCAAGCACACAGATCAACAATTTGTTTAACCACTCACCTTAAGGCTGCCATTGTGCGCCATGTAAGTAACATAGTCATTGCCTGCCAGGGACACCAGAGCAACCGACGAGTTTAGGTCGCGTTTGGAGTACACATTTTCTTCAAGGAGGTTTTGCAAATAATTGATTTGTGTTGTCATGTTTGGTCCTCTGACCAATGTGGTGAAGACACCTGTACCTCCATGAGCCAAATTCATCCCATGTTGTACCAATTTCCCACCAAATTCTCTCCATCTGTAGGGAAATGGAGATTTGGTGCCCATAAATGCAGCTGTATGTCACACCAATATTATTATTATTATTATTATGAAGGAAGAATAAATTTTTGAGGTTGATTTTCTTCAAATCTCCACCCTAATTGAAACTTGAGTTGTGATTATTTTTTGGCGGGCCAATTACTCCGAATTTCAACGGACATGAAGAATCATATTGTGTAGATTGTAGTTCGGCAAATTAAACAAAAATTACCAAAATAACCTAATTTAATAAATAAAAAATTCGTTTTGCTCTTGGGTTTTATCTTAAAAGGTTTCATACCAATTGGAGATAACACCATCACAAATAAGTTCTTCACATTTCCCTTATCCAGACGATGTGAAATTATGCACCCATAACTCGCACAATGTGGTAACTTGTCAGTGCCTCTTGCACCTGTCCATAAATTCACCACAAGACAATTGAAACTAACAAAGTTCATCCTTAATATATTTATGGAGCTCGGTTGAAATGAAACTCAAACTTGTAGACAGGGATGGATCTATGTACAAGTCAGTGGAGGAAATTGCCCCTACTGAATTTTTTTAGTTTTAGTAATATACTCTATTATTTTATTTATTTTGATATATATACTTATAAAATTACACAATTGCCCTCACTAAAATTACTAAAAAAATTACACCATCGCCCCCTCTCACATAATTTCCTGGCTCCGTCCCTGCTTGTAGAAGTATCCCTTGGGTATCATGGATGCCTGATGTAATGGTTAAAGATAAGATTTTCTACGTATAAGTTATGCATGTTATGATGGTAATATTTGTGTTAGGTAGAATGCGTCATTTCATGTAATTGTTAGGAACTTCTGCTAATCTAATCTTTATTATTACGATTTTAATTTAAAATGTGTTTACACATATAGAGACATTTCATTTCTATAAGTTGTCATGAAACTTTTCTTTCCAAACGATAAGAAAAGTTATCAATGCCAACTTAAATGAAAGTTGATAATTTGACACCATAACCACGGCACATTAAAGCTTAAACACTTGTACACGAGTGAATCCAAGCAGTCCTATTCTGATCCAGCCATCCACCAAGTTTTAAGGTTGCATAAAAAAAAATAAAAACAGAAGGGACATTTTTTTGAGGTTGAAAATTTTGTAAGTTTTTCTAAAAAAAGATAAAAGAAATTACAAGTACTAGATAAAAAGTTGGAGAGAAATTATATATTTGTGAAAAATAAAAGTGCGCTGTGCGCAGTAGTAGAAAAAACTCATGGTAAGAAGCTGTGCGTGTCACTGTGTGAGACAGAGAAGGAAGATGCACCTATACAATCAGTGAGGACACGTCCATCGGAGAAGCGGCCTGTTGGTTTGCCGGGAAACGTAGTTCCATAAGGTTGTTTCCACGAGCTTGCCAATGATCTTGGGCAATTCCCCGACTACAAAAAGCTTCACTCCTGAGTCGCCACCATGGTAGTAGTTATGCGATTCTGCAACTGCATGCAAGCATGAATGAGGAATTAGATATGGAAACAATATTAGTTAAGAAAAACAGCACTAATTAAAAGCAAGGCATCCATGTCAACCTGTATAAGCACCAAACAAGATGAAGAAGAAGAAGAAGATACAAGAGAATACGACGAAGCTCATTTGCTTCTCCATCGATCAATGACTAGTTTTGAGGTGGTGCTCACAGATTCGCATATGGAGGTGTATATGTATATATATATATGAAATGTTAACAAATTAAGTTACTCCAATGTATATGAAATGATAACAAATTAAGTTACTCATACCACGGCGAAGCCAAAATTTCAATTTAGGAAGCCCAGTGTAAGAAAAGAAAAAAAATAAAAATAAAAAAAATAAAAAATAAAATAAAATTCAACAAACATGACAAATATAGAACTTTGGTTTAGCAAAAAAGTTTCTTGTTTTCTGTTACCAATAGAAACAAAAATTATATTTAATAAAATGTTTTTGTTTTTTATAATATAAAATATTTTTCATTTTCGTAAAAGAAAAGTGAAAACATAAAAGGTGTATATGTTTTCACTATTGTTACTATATAAACACTATTAATTTCAAACAAAATCCACGTTCTATATTAATACTAAATATTATATATTAAAAAAAACTATATTTTTAATATATAATATATTATAAATAATTTAAACTATTTTATTTAATAAAAAATATAGTTTTAATATATAATTATATTATATGTAAATATTAAATTATAATATTATAATACATTATATATTTTATTACATATAGGATATATTATATATTAAAAAAAAAAAATTTATTATAATATACTATATGTCAAATATATGACGTACCTCATAATAAATGTATACATGATTGTTTTCATCTTGGTATATCTTACTTTATACTAATTTATTATGTATTATTAAGATTTGTGAAATAATTGAATTGCATACATATCCGGTTGTATTCTAAACAGAATGAGTTGCGTGCGTTTTTATAAACATGGGGGATTTCAACTTTTGTATGTTAACATTTTAGTTTATTATTTTTATGTACCCAAATTCTTGGGGATGTCCTTGCATGATTTTAAAACTTTTTTTTTATACTAAATATAAAGACTCTATAGCATATAAATACATTGTCTATCTCTAACCCAATAGTAGATTGATTGCTTTTATTGGAAAAATAAGGTTTTCATCTTTTACATAAACATTGTAGCTTTGTGAGAGAGTTTTTAGAGAAATCTAATTTTTTATCTTTGAGAGCATACACTTAAACATAAGAGTTATAATGTTCTCAAATTTCGTCATTTTTCTATTTTATAGAATTTTCTAATTTTTGAGGGTATTTTCGTCTCATCTCGTTTTGCCTGCCAGACATCGTGGGGTGTGCCGGATGTGTCAGAATGTTGATTGGGACATTTCCTTAAGTTTAGGACTATTAAAAATGTATTGGTTGCCATTTCGGCATTTTTCGGATCGGAAGATCCCAAGTGGGACCCACTACCGAGGTTGTGAGCACAGGGGTTATGTCTTGAGTTCATTGCATTTCATGCATTATTATTTTGCGCATTTATGATGGTATGTTTGATTGTGTACGTGGTTATAGTTTAATTTGTATGTGTATGTGTGTGTGTGTGTGTATATATATATATAAATGTTAGTAAATAAGATATTTAAGAAAGTGGAACCCACCATGTTATGTTTTAATGGCCAAAAGGCCATTTAGGCTGAAATCAGCCTTAGTTCTTCACTCTCTCACGCAGGCTTTCTCTCCCTCATTTTCTTTCCTTTTTCTTTTTCTTTTGCCATAAAATTCAAGCTTAGATCTAGCCTTGTTCTTTGAGAATTTGATATTGCCATTTAAAACAAAGTTAAAGAGCTTGTCAAGACCTTCGTTTTAATCAGAGTAAAGTGTTGTTTGGCCACCCTTTGGAATTTTGAAATTTGGGAATTTTTGGGACTTCTTCTTCAATTTGAGGTAGGGGTGTTCTAACCCATACTTTCTTTGATTCTAGTGAATTTTTCCCCTTAAATTTTTTCTCAAGCATGTTTAATTTGAGTATTTAACTTATGATACTTAGGGTTTTATGTGATAATTTGGTTTATGTGAATATTTGGCCCAAATTCATGTTCCTTATGTTAATGTGATGAAATACCTTCAAAGCATGCTATGATATGTCCAACGTGTTTAAATTGTTCATTTGAAAGCATGATGTATAAGTATGTGGTTTGGAATTGGTGACTTATGTGAGATTTCATTGTTGGCATAGTAATTGTGAAGCATGAGGCATTCATGCTTACATTGGGAAAGAAAATGGGGAAAAGTGTTTTAAAAACAAATGAAACTATTTTGGAGAAAATGTTTTCTAAAAGTGTTTGCAAAAACCTGGATGCTTAGGAATCGCATAGTGGTTCGTGGCGTTAGTGTGGTTTAGAGGGGATTAGGGAGAAATCCTAGCGTGGTTGAGCTACCTAGGTCGGATACGACACCTTGGAGTTGCCATGTAGTCGTGGATAGTTAGTCAATTCTCCTCTCGTGACGCTATGGAGTTGCCATGGATCGGATTGCACTAACGGTTTGAAAGGCGAAACGGTATTATTTTGGAAATGGGGAGCGACATTGCATGGCATGGCATTTCATTGACATATATTACACACTTGGTAGTCGGATGACTTGTATAAGTACTTGTTGATGTTATTATTGTTTTACTTGCTTCCCGAAGCATGTTCTCATTCACTTGTATTTTATTTTTTATGTAGATTCACGGGGTCATAAGAGGTGTGTCTTAGACATTTTCTACTGAGCGGTTAGCTCACCCCATTATATTATTACCATTTTTCAGGGCATGGAAATGAGGTGGCGGATGATGATCCACCACAAGCTTAAAGAGACTAGAAGTTATTTTGCTGCCTTTTGTGTATTTTGATTTCCTTCTTTTGTAAAGGAATTTCCTGGAAGTGTATTTGTTTTGTAAAGTATGATCTTGTAAAATAACTGTGGCCACTTGAAAATATTTTGATGTATTTATGACTATGTTGAAATTTTGTATTGAATAGGAAATGATGGAATATATTTTGGAAAACCTATTGATGTATATGTGTGTGTATTGTTGTTTAAGCTTTGCCGTGAATTCGGGATAGGTTGTGTAGCAAGGTTGGCTCACAACGAGCCTAGTTTTATTGTGTTTCCAGCTGCAATTAGTAGCATTCCAAGGCCTGTCTGCTAGCTGACAAGGAGAATTAGCCGACCAACATACCCCATCAGCTGACTAAACCTATGGTTTCAGCCGACCCAAGCTCGATCTCCAGCCAGCTGAGAGACCATATGGGGGAGTCCCGCGAGCATGCACTTTGGTGCTTCGTTTTGGCTGGCCGACCACCTAGGTTAGTCGACCTGTAATACCCTTAATTTTAAAAGGATAGTTTCGGCATTTTAATTATTGTTTTAGGATATTTTTATTTAATTATTTGTTTATTTGCTTAGTTGAGTTAATTATGTTATTTGTTTTATTTAATTAAATTATTTATTTGCTTAATTGAGTAAATTGTGTTATTTGTTTTATTTAATGAAATTACATGTTTTAATTGTTTAATGGTTTAATTGTATTCTCTATTTTATTTCAATGAATTAAGTGTTTTAATTGATTAACTTTGTTTTATTAATTGTTTAATGACATAAAATACTATTAGGGTTTTGTGTTTTATGGCATCGTGGGTTTCCCGTTTTATAATTAGTATAGTATTAAAATTAGGTTTTCAGAGACGCCTATATATATTATTATATTATGTCTGTCTAGGGTTTAAGACATAAATTACGTTCCACGAACAGAGTGTTTTGAGAGGCAGAGAGAAACAGAAAGTGAAACTTGAGGGATTAACAGAGGGGTTCAAGGAGGACTGGACGGATTGCTTCTGGGTTGAACCAAGAACAACGGAGGTGTAGAACAGCAATCTAGGAAGTGGTCGGAAAACTCAGAGACGGAGGTTTAATGTTTTGAACGGAAACCTAAAGGCAAGTTCCTATTCTAACTCCTTCCCTTAAACCTGTGTTCTGTGCATGCCTAGGTAGACTCCAAGGATTAAATTAATGCTAAAACGTATCTTTTATGCATGATTAAACTGTATTAAATCTTATTGAATTAAACTGGTTTGAGTTTTTTCAAAGTTTTCAACTAAATCCTGTTGTCGTTGTTTTAAAAGCTTGTGTTCAATTCATGTCGTGGTTGTATAAAAATGGTTTATGATTAATCTGGGACTGAGATTGAACCCTAATAACATATATATAAGCACTACAAAGGGTTTACATAGCACCGGAGGCAAAGAAGACAATCAGAACAGGTATAACGGCTTATAGGGAGAGAGAGACGGCTCCCTGAATGATGGAGCCAGCTCCTTCAATGATGGAGCCGGCTCCCAGAAGTGTGGAGCCGGCTCCCAACTCCTTAGAGTCGGATCCCAAGGGTAGGGAGCCGGCTCCCAAGTGTTTGGAGCAGGCTCTCAACTTTTAAGAGCCTGCTCTCGCCCAGAATTGCGTATTAACTGTTTTAAAGTTTTGTTTAAGCTGTACAGGGTATTTTGAATCCGTTTAAATTGCATTAAATGATATAAGTAATTGCTATGGACCTGTAAAAATATGGGGAAGCATTAATTTATAAATGGATTAAAGAGTGGAGCAATATGAGTTTGAGGAAAAACGTACATGTTGCACTGTTTTGTTAATTAATTTATTTACTGGAACTTAGAGATTCATTTGTATATGATTTGATATTGTTTAATCATATTTCAATATAGTTATAAGTATAGTGGTTTATTTGAAATTAACTATGCTTGGTTTGGATTAAATTGATATTTAATTTGCTGTAAACTGTGTCAATTTATGGATGGTTTGGAGGATTTAAGTGCTTAGATTTATTTTAGCAATTTAAAGGATTGGAATATGATTTTTAGGTCTTATAGTGAATTTCTAATATTATCATATATGTATTAAACTTTATTTATGCATATCTTAGAGAATAACTGGTGAATACCTGTTACTGTTTTATCAGTTGTGTTATTTAAAGGATTGTATGCCCCAGTATGAGACGACG